AAACACTATATATTCATAATATCTATTAAATACAGGTAAACCATATATCAGGCCATTTAAAATCACTTTTTAAATGCATAAATGCAAATTCATAGTTAATATATTTCAATAATCGTTCATTCCTTATTCGATTACCTATCAAAATCTCGGAATAGTTATTAATCTATATTCTTTATCATTCATATTATCGAAATACGAGAAGAAATCACAAACGACATAAGAAAAAAAAAAAAAATCTTGAACTTTAACCTTTCTCTTCTTGAATTCAATTTCACGTATACGACAGACAATCTCGCAAGAAACAGCCAAAAAATTCGTAATATGAAAATCCTTTTCCAAGAATTTCTCTCTCCCTTCCCTTTCGAATTAGTATCATCTTTGCCAAGTTCCAGGATCCAAGAAATCGGATCGTTGATCGAAATCGAGGAAAGTGGGTAGGGAAAAAACACGGTCGCGGCCGATTTCGCGGAAAGTGAACTTAGCGAAACTATTCCGTCGGGTAGGTGGTGAAGTAGTTAGAAACTAGTTCGACATTCAATTTCTGTCCTTGGGACGATTTGTCCATCACCGGGAAAAGGCGGAACGACGACTTCCACGCTCCACGGATTCCATATCGTGGCCAACGACTCGTATCTGTTAGAGTAAGTTTCCCTTGCCGCGAAAACTAAGTACGAAGTATAACCGTGCTTTAAAAGCGGGTAGGATTGAGCCTCGAGTTGCGACAGGAGGGAGGGGGAGGGGGAGGGGGAGAATCTCTTTCGCCCTCAGCTTCTCAGGAAATCTGATACGGTTCTTCGTGGTATCGCAAAAAACTTCTCTTTCCCTCTGCGAGTTTCCCTCCCTCCCTCCCTCCCCCGCCACGCGAAATACTTTCTATCATCCCAACAAACGTTTCACCTCGGATTGGGGCGAGAGATAAGGTACCGCTAAGCTATTATCTACATTGCTTATTGTCCGTGGCTTCCGCGGAATTGACTGGGAACTGAACTCGCTATTCAATCGTTGATTGCGTAATTGTTTTTCCATTTCGCCATTGCAATCTGGATTTCCCTTCTTCGCCTTATTCCCTGGATTGGCTCGAAGGGCAAGAAAATAGGGAGGATAAGGCAGTGGGGAGAGAAAAGAAGTTTTGTCTTCGATTAAAGTACTCGTGTAAACTCGTGTTTGAATATTCGATTATTTTCAATCTCTAATGTATTTGAATATTTATCTATTAAATAGTTTGACATCGCGATATAATAGGAGAAAGGGTAAGAATATGAGATAGAGTGGAAAAGAGATGTTTTGAATATTTATGACAAATGATTTTTTCGCAAGCAATTATCGATCATGTATATTAATTTATCTTTATTTAAAAGAAAAATCAAAAATTCTGTAAGATCCACGATATTCTATTTTTCAAAATTTTTTAGTTAATCGTTTCATTTATTATGAAGCTCCTTACAGCAAAAAATAAAATAGGTATCTCTTAATATTTGTACTTCTATCCTCGGAACGATTGAAAAATGAGAAAAATCCTTGTTATTTTTTTCCTTTTCACGGAAAAGCGCGACACAAATAAGGGAATACTGAAGTTTGAGATTCTTGAAATTCGTTTACCGCACTTTCGAAATCCTCTTAAGGGATACGTTCCTCGCGAAGAGGTAATTTTTACACGATTTAAGATGACAAAATAAAACGCGGGAAAGAAGTGGTTGTTACGGTTGTACGCAAAGAGACGCGTACTTTTGTGCAACCGAGCAGAGATTTAACGCGAAATTCAGCCGTGTGCATACATGGTGAGGGAGCAAGAGTGACAAAGAGAGAGAAACGTGCGCTTTTTCGACGATGGAGAATCGATTGGACACCACCTCGCCTCTTGCAAGTCACAGTAAACAGAAAGTAACGCCGAAACTCTCTCTGCCGCAATAACGAATAACGTGGAGTCAAAATTAAAGACGCGTATATAAACATGAAGACTAGAGATCGAGAGGATATTGCTCTGCCCTGTTTGCTGCAAATCGCTAATCAGAACTATCTCATCTGTGTGCGCTATTTTCGGAGGCCAGAGCAATTTTAATTAAAACATGCCGTGCGTTTTCATTAAACCGCCGCGATATATACTCGCGGAACATACGCCAGATTTATGCGGAGGGAAAAAAATGTACGCGTCACACGACTAGAATGCCTCTTTTTCATAACATTTCTAATCACAACCAAAGGAAAAATATCGTGGAATTAAGCGAGGAGAATGAATTATTTTGCAAAAATAGAGTAGCAGATTGCGTTATTGTTACGAATATTGGTAAATAATTAAATTTCTAGAGATATATAATGAAATAGCTGTAAAAAATAAAATTACAATTTATCGCAGGAATTTAGATAGATACTAAATTAGATATTAAATATTTTCATCAATTTTATTTCGATGGAAAGAGGTATATACTCATGATATCCTATTATAGCAGCGATATGAAATATTGGTTTTAATTTATAGAATATTTTTAGAATATTGAATTTAATTTGTGATAGTGATTTATTTCATGTGATTTAATTAAAAAGAATTGCCCGATGTTCTCATTATATATAAATATATTTGTTCAATATAAAATAACAACTGCCATTTTATAACAAAAATTAATTATTTCATTAGCTCGCGTTATTATTAAAAATTCTCATTAAATAATTGAATTTATTCAAATTACCTATTGCCTATAAACTTCTATAAAGTCTATCCTGCTACAAAAAAATTAAAACTCTAATTTACTTTAAAATCCAAGTATCAAGTATCAAGTTTCACTAATCCCATTTCAATTGCAAAAAATGGTCCATCATAACACGTGAATATTTCAACGTAAAATCACAAATTCAATAATTCCAACATTCCAACATTACGTTTCATAAACTGCTACGATCGATGCGCTCCTTTGAAAGATCATAACCGAATCGAAAATTGAAAAGAGCAAACCAAGCAGAGAATTACGTCACGGCGGGAGGGAAACCGTAACGACAGAACGATCCTGTAATGAGTATGTAGGTTGGCCGGTTCTTTGCTAAAGGGTACGCGTTACGCTGAAGTACCATACTGTCTGCGCAAATCCAATTTTACGAGGCTCGATCCCAACGGATCGAAGTGCATCGCCTACACCAGGGGGGATGCCACGCAATACGCCGGTCTCTGGCATGACGGAAGCTGAATTCCACGGGGAGTCCGAGCTTTTGGCGACTTAGCTAGGCAAGCGTGGCTGGCCTTGGATAGCGGCCTCCCAGCCCGGTGTTGGATGACTGGGGGCTGTGTGTAGCGAGAGGAGGGACGGCAGGAGGGTCAAGACGAAAGAGGAAAGGGCCGAGATACGCTGGAGGGCGGAGAAGCGGTCGAGAGTTGCCGGCAGAACCGATCCCGTACTATCGTCGGCAGACGTATAGCCCCTCCGCCTTTGAGGGCTTCGTGAAAAAGAATCGTATATAGAGAGAAAGAGGGAAGAGGGCTGGAGGCAAAAATCGTGCGGAAGTGTACGCTTCCACAAATAACTATAGTATTTTACAGTTCTCCTCGTCTTCGGCCATAACTGCCCGGGTCATACGGTGTCATAAATCTCGACCCCGTAACTTTCTTTTACGCTTCGCCAGTGATATCGTGGAACGATGTAAACTGAAATTTAAAAATCTGTCCATCTGATCGTTAGACATTAGATTGGAAAACTCGGTCTTTCCAACGTTACTTCGCTCCTCGTTCATTTTTAACTGCATTTTCGTTTTTCTCTTACTCGCGCATATCGTCTTTCTCTCTTTCCTATTTCCCTCTTTCTCTCTCTCTCGCGCGCTCTTTCTGCCTCTGTTACTGCTGGATATTCTCTCTTTGCGTGCACGTGCTATTAATGTATAAACGGGAATGTTGTTAGTTACTAATCGCAATGACAGTCGTAGAGGAGTGTGCACGCGTCCGTTCTCGCCTAGAGTGCTTAACAGAGGGCTGATTTTGCAACTTTTCTAGGACAAAGGTGCATTCGTAATTTCGGAAGTTGTAACGAGGCTGCTTTGAATTTTGATGAGCCACGGATCGGACATCACCATTCCAGCCTTTCCTTCGTTACCGGCTCAAACTGCGACCCGACATTCGCGCTAATTTCAACGTCCCACGTTCGATCCTCCTTCCTCCGTTTTATCCTGATTACAGTCTTAAATGCCACTATTAATTAACTCTCTGCATATGCCACTCCGAGGGATAACTGACGCTTCCCAAACGTGTTTTTAACGCCAGGCCCGACTTAAGTCGAATTTTATATCCTTTCCCTTTTCTAAGAAACCAAATAAACTCGTCTCCTTTATTGGATCGGTGTTGTATCGTTCTTTGCGCCCGGCAATTCTAGTAATTTCAACCAGGGAGGATAAAAAAAGGAAACGCGGAACGTAACGTTATAAAGCGCGATCGTATAGACGCATCCACGAAGGTGAACGAATCGCGTAAACTGATTTGCATGAAAAGAATGTAAATCGTTCGGACAAAGCAATTTAGGCGGCGGCTATACATAACTCCGTCGTATCAGCCGCCGTTTTAAAAGTAGACAGCTCGCTCGACTTCCGTTAAATCGCGCTCACAATCAGTCGTTGCAATCGACGAATTGCGGTTGCGCCGGCCCTGGAACACTCTTCGTGTGGGGGGTAACTACCAACTCACCCTACTCCCTCCCCTCGCTGCATTTCAATCACATACATACACACACACTCACATTCAACGCAACTTCGCGAGATCGCGTATACATGCATGTATCGCCACGAGTTCGGTCGAGGTAGTAAGTCGAGTGCTTTCGTGTATACGCTACTGAATAAGTGGCAGCGTTCGTGTTGGTGAGAAATTCGAATGTGTGGCGGCGGCATAGTACGAAGATCGGTCGGCAGTGGCGCCACGCTCGTGGCCGAGCGCACTCACAGCACAGACTCCGTACAGAGCCGTAGCGCCATCGAGTTTCGCTTTTCGTCGTTCTCGGTACGTCGCTGCGGGCCGTGTAGCCAGACGACAGTTTGCCCTGTGTGCCTGGACGGGGCGGGTGTAATTTCGATCGTTCGCGTGGTGACGTTACACACGTTTTCGGAACGGTATCGCGTGAGAAAAAGTGACATTAACGGTTTTGTATCACGGTTGCACAGGATAAAATTGTTCGCACGCGTACGAACTCGACACATGAAGAGAAAAATAATTGGTGCAAAGTGGACGAGGAAAGAAGACGCAAGTAGAACCGGCAACGATTCGAGGAATGACCCCACATGATCGTTTGCGATCACACGACGCTTTGACGAGTCGCGATACGACGCGATGATATCTTCCAAGTGTTTATTATTCCCACCTTGACTACATCACGCGTGGATTTTTTTATCGCCTCTTGTCCGTTATCTGATTAGTGTGTTCGGTGTGAAAGAAAATCAAAGTGTTTTAAATCGAAAGGGAAAGAGCAAAGAAGAGGAAAAAGTTTTGTAGTTTTGTTTGTTTACTCCGGTTCGTCGCACCACGAGAGTCATGGGTGATGTGTACACGCTAGTTAGTGACCTGCTCGTGAAGGATACACCCGCGGACAGAAGAAAAATCGACCTGACCACGCCACCCGTAAGAGTAAGTCTGCTCGACTTATCTTCTCGTTAGTTTCTCTTACGATACTCCGTGTTTGTCATTCCTTCGTTTATTACGCGGCCTCGTGTTCTCCTCCGCTTTGTTCTGTTTCGATCTCGGAAAATTAAGGATCGTATCACGGCCGGAGGCGAGGAAAAAAAACCACTGCTAAGGGTCGAGACGAAGTATCAAAAGAGAGAAAGAGAGAAAATGGCTATTGTGGTCTCTCGATCCTTTTTCTTCGAATACTTCTGCTCCGATTTGTGCGCGTTCTCTTTCTCTCTCTTGCTCTATCCTCTTCCGATCCGTACGCGCGCTTTCTCTTCGTCTCTGTCACGTTCCGTTCTCCTTGCTCCGTTCTTGACTGGTTCGAGAACTCGGCGTCGTTCTCTCATCGTGTTCTTTTTTTTTCTCTCCCCCTTTCTTTCTTTCTTTTTCATCGTTCGGAGCAAGGTGACGCCTCGAAGTTCGACGAATCGAAATGTGCACGCCTAGCGCGTTTAGATTATTACACTCGACGAGAGGCCGCTTTGTGCCAGGCATTGAATCACGTACGCGGATGAAAGATTAAAGTCGGAGCGCGCGTGCGACGATTGAAGGTGGATCGTCTTTTTGGCGCGATCGAACTGTCAATCGCAACCAAGGGATAGAACCTTGGGTAAAGACGGATCGAAAGTGTCAAACTCAGCTGGTGGGAGAACGGTGCTCGAGAAATCTGAGACGGTTCATCATCGATCATCGAAATAACTCTCTATTTGACTTTTCTAATCGGATTGGAATTCAATACGTTTCTTAATCGATTAACGTTCCTCGTTGATGAATTTATCGTTGATGAAAGAAACTGGAAATCCGTTAGTTTGGTATTAAAAATTCGTTCTTTCTATGTTGCTGATGACATCATAACTATATTTACCAATGTAACAGACGCTGCATTATGTGTTTGTATACGTTCATACTACAACAAGTTGTACCGACATCATCGTATACATAGGTGGAATATCTATCCATAAATAAAGTAGTTTTTTATTTGATTATCTTTGCGTGTTGTAACAAAAATTTCTCGGAATGATTCGTAACTTCGTTAGCTTTCGTTTTCTTTTTATTATTATATTATTATGTATTCTTTTTTTATACACATAACATTAATTAACTTCTATATTTGAAATGTTATTACGTTAAAATTTGCATAATAGAAATTATGCAATAATAGGATAAATAGTTAATTTATTTATATATAGTTAATTTCATTATGTATTATATTCTGTACATATCGTGATCATATAACAACAATTATTAAATCTTTTTTCAATTAAAAAAATATAAATAAAATGAGACGAAGTAAAAAGGTTATTTATAGTCATATTTTAAAAGATTATTTTAAATTGAATAGTTTTAAAAACTTTTGTAGACTGTTAATTAAACGTCTCAAGAATAAAATATAGTATCTTTTGTTAATCATAATTGAAATTATACTTATTTTATTCTTGATGTTTAATTGAACGTCTAATCGTAATAAGCAGATTCAGAAATCAGAATAGATTTATTTTCTTTTTTGAAAATAAGGGAAATAAACAATGTAGTTTTATAAATACGCAATTATTAATTATTATCTCTAAAATAATCATAATTTATATTTGTTCTTTTCAAAGATTGGATAATAAGAAATTGAATAATAAAATCATCAAAATTAAACTATTTATTTTATTGAATCAAAGATCTCGTTAACTAAACTATATATAACTATATATAACTTAAACTATATATGGTCTAATTAAGTTAATTTTTTGTTTTATTTAATATTATTTAATTTAAATTATAATTTGAATTATTTTTAAAATTAATTATTAATTTTATAGAATTCGATATTATTAATAAAGTATCATTGATCATCTGAAGTTTATTAATTTCTTCTTATGATTTTATATTTTATTTTATAAAATATTATTTTATTATATTATCATAAATTTTTTAAATATATAATATAATGGAATAGATATATAAAGTAGGTATTTATAGACGGTAGAAATATAAGAGATTTTTTTCTTATTATCCAATCTTTTTAAATCATCAAAATTTAATTAGCTTCCAAAACGTATATGATTTTATTACATTAATAATTAATAAAAACAATTTGACCTATTTCGATCAAAGGTCTAATTAATTAAAAATGAGAAAAATATCACATTTAAAATTCATCCCTTTCGTTTCTTTTCTCTCTCGTACATTTTCTATCCGCATAACAATCAATCAGTATATTAAACGATAAAAAAGTATCACGAAACGTTGAGTACAAACTTTTTTGCTGCCAATCCATTTGAGAAAATAAAATTCTCGTTCTCCTTCACCATTATCATTTACATCTACTTTTTCCGTTCGTAGCTGTTAATTACACAACGAATTTCTTTCTCTTTCTCGAGTCCTTTTCTTTTCCATCACGTATATTCGTGACATCGGGAATAAAAACGATAAGTACCCGTAGCGTAAGAAAGCATAATAGTTTCCACTGAGCGATCCGAGATTGCGAGAAGGCATGCAAACTATCTCGAGTAGCCCGAGTTATTCGAGGCTTACGATTGCGTTTTCGAATTGCTGTACTTCGTTCCTCTCATAAGTTTCATGGAAAGTAAGGCAAGGAAGCGAACACGGATAGAAACAGGGACTCGAAAGTGGAGGTAGCGGAGCTAGTTTCTTAACGGCGCATAATAATTATTGTGTTGTCGTATACAGAGGCACGAGGCTTTCGAGAAGTTTATTACGTCGGTGGAAACGAGCTCGTTGAATATTCGACCAGGCCTTATTCAGAATTCCGCGACACGATCGTCAAAAATTCGACGAGCATGAACAACGTCCGCCCCGGGCTCTCTCGGAAACTCCGTGATCGTGCAGATTAAATATTAATCCAGGCGGTGTTCGGTATTCGGGTAACAATAGCGGGGGATTCGCCTCCTGTTACATCAATATTAATTGCCTCATCAACGTGTTATCGGCACCTTGGAGAATTTCACTTTGGATCCGAAGATTCAAGTATAGTGCTATACCCTCCCCCCCTTTTCTCGGTTTAAAAAGGGGGTAATTATCGTGAGAATTATACGCGTGTGATGCCCCTTTTGAAATTTCTACTTGCACGGGTATTTTTCATTCGGTTCGTTCTTTTATTCGTGATGCGTGACGTCAGATTGGGTAACCATTTTTATACGAGCGACACAGCAAATTGGCCTATATACGAATGTATATGTATAGTCGACTTTTGCACGCGAATTAATAGGCAAATATTCGATTTGTATGTTTACGGAATTCAACGGAATGTTTATATCGAATCGTAAAACGAAGTGATATATTGCGTATGATTTATGTATTCATAATATTCGACAAAATTGTTGGTTTATAAGCTTTAGATAATTAGCTATCAAAATTAACGAAAATTCTATTTTCAATGATACTTTGTGCATGTTTTCATATAAGATTTCATATAATCAATTATATGAAAATAAGGAGCAACTTCTTTCTTTATCAGAAATATCATTTTGAGGGGGTGAAATCTTGAAATTTCAATATTTCCATTTTTATAATACAACTTTTTAATAATATTAGAATAATATTTTAAATATAAAATTTATTATTCTCTTGTAAAAGTATTTTCAGTTATATTTAAAGAAACTTTTATCTGTATTATCGTTCAAATAAAAAGCGGATGAAAAGCCGATTTCTTTCTTAAAATAAAAAAAAAAAAAATCACGAAGAACGAAAAACGGCAAAATCTTTAGATTGGTCTAATAAAATTATTATGATTTAACTTGTCGCGTATCAATCAGATATTTCTTTGTTATTTGAAATTCTTCTATGATAAATACCAATCTCGTAAATATATCAGTGTATATATTGCAAAGAGATAACGAGTTAATGAAGAATAGTCGTATTACCATCTCTATGATTTTTGAAGCTGAGATAACGCGACCCAAGTCTCTTTTATGTTTTCAAACTTTTCTTATCGGCGAGTCGACTCGCACTTAACCGTGAATTAGCTTAACTTGGAACTAATTTTTGTTCCTTCGCTCGCTAACCTAACGATAATTGAATTAACAGGGGGAAAAGGGATCCTCGAGCCTCGGTTCCCTCCTTTTTTCTTTCCTGGTAGGGAAAAATTACACCTGAACCTTAGGGGTAAATAGAAATGAAATGGAACGAAATGATGGAGCATTATCTTGCATTAATGCATCCAATGGCACACTACGAGAAGCTAGGGGAGCTCGCATATGTCACTTATAAGCTTTCCGCATAGGAGGTGGTGTGTTTAAGACCGCACATGGCGCTCTTGTGATTTGTCCCTTGCACCGCTTTTGTGTCGCGTCACAGTCGTTAATAATGCGTAATTAATAACCTTCCCTGGCTTGACACATTTACACCCTGCTGTTAAAGGAATCAAAAGAAATTAACGTATCGAGAATTGAATTATTTTTGTCGCGAAGATTTGTAGTAACGGATGAGATTGACGTTTATGCAACGATGTTGCGTTGCAATATTGTTTGTATAATTTGTATTATGAACACGTTGATAATGTGGATATACAAATTGATATTTGGTAGATTCGCGATCATTTGTCATGGAAACTCTGCAGGCGAAAGACTTGTGTTCGTGTATGTTATAGAGTGTTGATTAGCAATTAGTGTAATCGAATTATCGATTAAAAATGATTAACATACACACGGCTAATTGCACATTAGATTGAATAGAATGTTTTAAGCGTTTTAATTAGATGGTTATACATCTTATGCGAACTATATGAAATAGTATTTGAAACTTATTCTTTAATTTATGTTTCATATGTTTTTTTATCTAAAACCTTTCATTTCTTCGATGGTAAAAAGATCTTCATATAATTTTCGATAAAGTAGTTTAATAATTTTTGCATGTTTACATAATTTTCATTTTCAAATAATGAAATTATGTATTTTTATTCGCTTTAATATATTTATAAATGAACAGTTTTAGTAATTTTGAGTTCC